TGGATATGTGGATTGTTTCCATTTTTTGGCTATTCTGAATTCTGTGATGAACATCTGTGTATAAGTTTTTTAGTGAGCATATGTTTTCAATTCTCTCTTGGGGTGTATACCTAAGCATAGAGATGCTCTCTCAAATGATAATTATTGCTTAATTTTTTGAGTAACTGTGAAACTATTTTCCACAGCTGCTGCACAATTTTTACATTCCCACCAGTAATATATCCCCACATTTTTATTGTTAGTCTTTTTGATTATAGCCATCCTGGTGTATATGAAGTGGTATCCCATGATTTTAATTAGCATTTCACTAATGACTGTTATGTTGAGCATGTACTTTTCATGTACTTGTTGGCTATTTGCATATCTTCTTAGCAAAGATCCTTTGTCCATTAAAAATTTTTTTATTGCTGTAAAAGTTCTTTATGTGTTCTGGATGCAGATCCTTTATAATGGTATATGATTTGTAAATATTTTCTCCCATTCCCCATGTTGTGCTTTTCACTTTCTGAACATGCCCGTTGCAACTTAAGAATTTTAAGAAACCATTAACTAATTTACAGTCATGAAGATTTACTCCTATATTTTCTTTAAGAATTTTATAGTTTGGCTCTTACATTTAGTCTTTGATCCATTTTGAGTTAAAATTTACATTTTGAATTGAAATTTTAATGTACAGTTTTGACTGGAGTATAACTTACATAACTCAGTCCAAACACTCTTTCTTCCAAATGTTTGTCTTTCCAGAATGTTCTTTTTGTGCTTATCCAATCAATTCCTATTTCTCTAGAGGTAACTGGTGTTCTTATTTTATTCACCTTAGATTGATTTAGCTTCTTCTATGTCATTTTGTAAATGGAATTATGTCTTATGTACACTTCTGCATCTAACTTCTTTTACTCAGCATAATGTTTGTGATATTCATCCAATGTGTTAACTGTATCAGTAATTGATCTTTATTTTGTATTGCTAGGTGGTATTGCATTGTATGAATATTGCATATTTTATGTATTTTCTTGATGAACATTTGGATTATTTCTACTGCTAAGCTATTGTGAATAAAGCTGCTACTATTATCCCTAAGTCTTTATATAGAAGTGTTTTTTTTTTTTTTTG